TAAATACAATCTAGGAAATTTGTTAGCTAGACACTCCTCCCCACACCATGCATCATGAGGAGAGTTCATTTTGAATTCATCGAGACATGTGCATGTCCAGTTAATAGATTTTTACATATATATTATAATCTTATATCTTATTTTCTTCTTACCGTGAGATTTTTAATTTAGATCATGATACATTTACACTCTCTCGTTACACCCTCCGTCACATATATTCACTTTCTATTACTTAATCTGTTAACTCCAGATGTGTGTTTCTTGCTCTCCCTACTTTCCTCTATCCCTATCTTTGCTTTCCTTTCTCCCTCTTGTTGTTTTGATTGAGCTTTTCTCTCTTTTAGACATGAAGTTGGGTTTGAAATGTTGAAGGAAAGTTTTCAATTTTTTTTATCAACCAAACAATACACTATATTATCAAATTTATAAAAATTCTAACAAATTCATTATCTTCTTCCTTTTTCCTTCTTCCTCTTTTTTTTTTTTTCTCTCCATCTGGACACCCCAGATTGAGAACCCAGATTTGGGTTCTCCTTGCTGGGTTCTCCAGGTCAAGTTCTCCTTGAGAACCTGATCTAGGTTCTCCTCAACAGATCAAGGAGGGGGGAAGAGAAGGAAGAAGAGGGGAGGAGAGAGAAAAAAGAAGAAAAAGAAAGGAGAAGGAGGGGAAAGAAGGAAAAAGGTTGAAAATCAAAGAACCAGTGCTAGGTGCAGAGGAGATCTACTAGGTTAATGAAAGAAACGGAAAAAACTGAAGATTGAGTGAGTATGTGATGGAGGGTGTAATGGGAGAATGTGTATATATCTTTATCCTTTTATATATCTTTTTTAATTTTATTTTACATATGAACCTTTTACTCCAACATTGATTCTATCACTATATTTTATGAACTTGGCCACCATTTGTAGCTTGTACTTCTCACCTCTTCGGAGTCTTGAATCATCATATGTACAGTCATGGTAAGGGGACGACCGATTGTAACAGAAATTGGTTGAGGTACTGCCCATAGGCTCAACCAGTTAAACCAAAGCAAAATAAACTAGTCAATCGACATCATACCCACCCATTTGGGTTTTACTGAAAGATCAAGCTAAAAAAGAGACTTGATTGTAATTCTTGGAGTAGGATTAAAGGCAAATTAGCACGGATAAAACCTAAAAATGATTCCAAAACGATTGTTTCCACAAAGAAAAATAAACATACATGAACATTTCCCTTTATTTTTTAAATATATGCCAAAACACATTTATTTACTTTGTTGATATAACTAAACAACACCCCAAAACACACATTGTAGTATTATCTAACTACGTATGTCCAAAATTAATGATGAATGGCGTAGGAGCCGATACCGAAACACCGATTTTGGCGAGATTTAGAATTTCACTACGATGAATTCGATTGCCAGGTTCACTACTTAGGTTGGCAAGACCTAAGATACAGAGATAAATTGAGAGAATCCACTCCTAAAAAACTCACTCAAAAGAGGAGAAATATAAACTGAAATTTTGATTGAAACTAGATACGTACAATGGTGAGAACATGGCTATTTATAGGCAAAATCTAACGAAAGGCAATAAATGAAAAGTAAAGTGCAGTTGGGAGTTAGCAGTTTTGTAGAATTTAGTGGCCATTTTTGTTGACTTGTGGCCATGTTGACAAAGTTGCACCAACCTAGTGGTGCTGCAGAGTAGCTTCTGCATGCTTGTTGTTTTTTTCCTGGTGCATTCTCCCCTGGTTGGAGAAAACTCATCCTCGAGTTTGAGTTCAATGCTTATGATCCTCATAGTAAGGAGATAAGTCAGCAACATTAAAAGTAACAGAGACTCCATAGTCACCTGGAAGTCTGGTCTTGTAGGCACAACCATGATAGAATCCTTGCTTCATTGAGTTCGCAGTAATCCATGAGGGGTGTCATCAGGAACAACATTAGAAAATTCTTCAAGGAGAGATCGAATTTCCTCTAGAAAAGGGGAAGTTGCATCATTCACTTTAGATAATAGCAAGAGACAAGCTATCCTCGATTCTTGATGCAACTTCTGAGAAGTTGATCTAGAGATTAAGGTTTTGTTCTCATCCTTCTTTTCAAGTAAATCTTTAGGCTTCAAGGGAGTGAGCTTGATTTGCACACCATCTTTCACAAACGTGTAGGTGTTGGCATGGCCATCATGGATAGCCTTTCTGTCAAACTACCAGGGGCAACCAAGTAACAAGTGACAAGCATCCATGGGGATAACAGCACACATACTTCGTCTTGGTACCTATTACCAATAGAAAAAGAGACAAGGCAACGTTTGGTTACTTTTACCTTGTTTCCCTTTCGTAGCCATTGTAACTTGTATGGATGGGAAAGATCTTTGATTGGCAGTCCTAGCTTCTCAACCATATAACTAGACACAACATGCTCACAACTTCCACTGTCAATGATGACGTTGCAAACTTTCCCCCGAGAAGTACATCTGGTGTGAAAGATGTTATGTCGGAGCCAATCTTTATCCTTGGTTATGGTATCATGAGGACTTCAACGCACAACCAAAGATTCTCCATGGTCAGTTGCGATGAGTTCTTCCTCAAGTTGTGGCTTAATCTCATCACTAATCTCCTTTTCTGTTTCACCATCTAAGACTTCATAAATCTCTCCTCCAATAATGGTGATAATTCTCCTATTGGGACAGTTGGAGGCAATGTGGCCAAATCCTTGACACTTGAAACACTTTCGAGTGTTAGGCTGGGCTGGACGGCTTGAACTAGCTTTCTTCTCAACTTTGGCAAGTGTCTCAGCAACAATCTTTGAGGCTTGGGTCCCTTGACTACCTTCAAAATCTCGTGGTTTTGAAGTAATAGTAATATTCTTCTTTGAGATTTGCTTTTCAACCCTCAATGCTAGCCGAATGACATCATCCAAAGTCCAATATTGTTGAAGTTGAACTACTTTGGAAATGTCATTGTCTAATCCTCCAAGATATCTTGCTATGGTTTGCTCTTCTTTTTCTCGAACATCCCATTTCATCATTAATTGTTCGAACTCCATAGTATATTCTTCCACAGTCAAAGATTTTGCTGCAAGTTATGAAATTTCACAAAATTATCTTAGTAGTAACAGTCAGGTAAGAACTTATGAGTGAGTTCCCGATGCATTTTCTCCCAAGTTCTAATTTTGTTGCACTTTCTCTTTCTCAACTGTGTTTGAGATTCTCCCTCCAAATGGATGCATGTTTCTTTAATTTGATGGCGACGAGCTTCACACGCTTGTTGTCAGGAATATCCTTGAGTTCAAACACACGTTCCACAATGTGTAACCAGTCGATAAATTCATCTGGTTGAAGGCGACCTTCAAAATCTGGAATATCAATTTTGATGCCAAGGTCAGTGGATTTGGGAGTAGCATTTTGTTGGGGACATTGTCGACGACAAACTTTTCCTGTTGATGATGAGCTTTCATTATCCCTTAGGTGATGGAAGGGATTCTCATCGTCAGTATCTTCTTTTGACTCATGTGGTTCATCTTGCGGGTGTCGAGCTTGTTGTCCCTCAAAAGCTTTGAGTCTGTCTTGAAGCCTTTGAATTTGTTGACGTAGTTCTTCCATCTCTATATCCCGAATAGCTCGTTGACGAGGAGGATTTTGTCTTCTAGGAGGCATGATGAGTTTAGGTTGGTAAGGGGCTTTTTGGAAAGTTAGTATTTGAAAGTGGGGGTAATTTGAAATTTATAAAATTATGGGGTCAATCTGTAAGGTCAAAATAAGTTGAGGGACTTGATGATGTGGTAAAAGAGTGCGTCTGTGGGGATGACGTGTCACTGATGTGGCTGATGATGTGGCACAGATGACATGGCAATAGATTCTGTGTCAGTGACTGGATGATGACGTGTCGATGACGTGGGCAAATGAAAGGTTGAAGATAACCGGCGTGTGATGTTCACACGATTTGCAATGGTGCGAGTGGCCAACGCGTGAGAAAACAGTGGTTGCGCGTGGAGGCACGTGCTAACTTGTTCGTCGACCAGGTTTTCACCAGAACGCTCAAAATGACGTGCAGACTCCAAATATGTTGGCTTTGATACCAAATGGCGTAGGAGTTGATACCGAAACACCGATTTTGGCGAGATTTAGAATCCCACAACGATGAATTCGATTGCCATGTTCACTATTTAGGTTGGTAAGACCTAAGATACAGAGATAAATTGAGAGAATCCACTCAAAAAAACTCACTCAAAAGAGGAGAAATATAAACTGAAATTTTGATTGAAACTTGATACATACAATGGTGAGAACATGGCTATTTATAGGCAAAATCTAACGAAAGGCAATAAATGAAAAGTAAAGTGCAGTTGGGAGTTAGCAGTTTTGTAGAATTTAGTGGCCATTTTTGTTGACTTGTGGCCATGTTGACCAAGTTGCACCGGCCTAGTGGTGCTACAGAGTAGCTTCTGCATGCTTGTTGTTTTTTCCCTGGTGCAATGAATGTTGGAGCTGGATTTTCGTTGAACTCCTTATAAGTCTGCAGACCAGTTAAAACAAGACCCACCAAGGCACCGAGGAAGACCAAGAAGCTCCAGGGAGTCCTGAAAAAGGTGTGATAGAGTTGAGCCAAGTCGCTGGCCCATGCACTGTTGCAGTGTACTTGGATGCAACGTTGCAGGTCTGAATAGTACTGTAGCTCAACATTTGGCACCAGGTTGCTGCTCATCCTGTTGAACAGCTGTGCTGCTGCTGCATCGCTTCCCAATCCGTTGTGCAGCACGGCGGTAACTCTCAGTTCCTTCACATCCTCTTCTCTATCGATCAAGGAGTCTAGGAGTCCCCCATGAGTGGTGATCTCGTAGTCGTTTATGAAATCTGGACACATCTCGTATGCTATAAGATTCAGCAACTTAGGAATCGTGGAGTCGTCCACCAAAATGGGATGCAGCTTAAGAGTTGCTATGCAATAACTGTCGCGAAATTCAATCCCGTGACACTGCTCATCCTGCTCCCTTCAAATAAAATCTCTTTCTCTTCCAGCTCTGTTACGCTACGAAATGTTTGCTTGTACTTTCTGTTGCAACAATTCCTCAACAGGGTCCCCCAAAAGCCATCTGATTTGTTAACCTGTTCCTGTTTCTCACCCTGATTTCTCAATTTGACTCCAATCAGCTCTGTGAGCAACAGTTCCAAAAGATGAGCAGGTTCTTCCTGCCGCCACCGCTGCTGCAGCTGCTGCTGCTGAGCAGGCTCTTTCTGCGGCTGCTGCGGCTGATCTTGTCGACTTTGAGAATCAAACTCATGATCATCAGAAATTAATATATATGTTTGTCGTGGCTCCTCTAGGCTCATGGCATTCATATTAACGAAACGTTGGAGAGAATCCATCAACCGTCGGCAGTTTCCATTATCTGTGTGAGAAGAATCACCTCCCTCGTCTTTACCATCCAATTCCCTGCGAGGGACCCTAGTGCACAAGCTCATCAGCAGCTGAAGGAGTTAGAATGGCAGTTGGTTCTCAAGCAAGAACATATCTAGCTTTGCAAACGCAACTAGATCAATATTCTTACATCCCACTTTCTCCCAATAGAACACCACACAGCCATCCACAAGGAAAATCCAAGCCAAGTCCTCATCATCCCATTTCCCCTTCCACTTATCTTGTTCATTCTGCTCATAGCACTTCTTCAAGCTACTTAAGTTCTTCTTGACATTGTTGTAGAAATCCTCCTTGGTTACGCCACTGTGTTTGATGAACTTTGCCGCCAATAGTAGCTTGGACTTCTCAGCTCTGTGGAGTCTTGAATCGGCATCATCATCACTTGGATGGTGGAGTGGGCCAAATGCAACAGAAACTGGTTAGAAATATCGTTCAAAATCATTGTTGGCACGTAGTATCTGCGTTGCCCTTTGTATCAATGGCTTACTTGGCGTCAGATATGATGGGTCGTTGGCGGCTTCCTCCAAGGAGTTCAATCTGTCAAGCTCCTTTTGGATAAGTCTAATTTCAAGAGGGACGTCCATGTTGAGGCAGTTGAGCAAGACTGCTTAACCTCAACCTAGCTATCGAGACAAATATATATTATATGAAAGATTTCGCAGCTTAGCTACATGGTGTTTTGGTGAGTATTTTGAAACCAAAACCTTATAGTACTTCTATATTAAAGTTGGAATATTAATTGGAGTTAGTGTAGTGCAGCTTATATCTCAAATTTTTTTTAAACTTGTCTAAATACTCACTTTTTAATTAATTTTTTTTTATCAACAGAAAATAATTTATTATGGAGGCTGCAGTATAAGGAATATCTCCAACCCATTACATTCACTAATAATAGAAATATTCAAGACACAAGCCTGCAATTACATAATACAAGCATCCCAACTAAATTTTATCTAACTATCACAACAGAGTTAGAGAAGGATTATTTGGCCATTCATAAAATGTGGATTGAATTTTCTATTCATATAAGTCATATGTGTCAATTTTTATATTGATTCAACATTTTATAATCTTTTAATAAAAAAAAACTTTATTTATTGAAATATATGTAATAGTGTTAAATTTTGTATAATTAAAGAATTGGTTAGATCTACTTGAACAATTTGAAATTTGACATGCATGATCAATATAAAAAGAATTTTCAATCCAGCTATTAATTTTTTAAAATATTAATTAAAAATAAATTATTAAACATGTCTTCCAAAAATAAAAATTTTTAAAAATAATGTGCAAAACACTTTTCTCGTATTAATTTACTACTAGTTGCAATGGTAACAAGTTTGGTATCGGATTTTTAGTCCAAAAAGGAAAAGAAGCTCGTATGTTAAGCATGCATGGTTTACAAACCAGAGGAAGTGACATTCGCGGCCTTTCATTCCATATGAAAAATAGTATTTTATTGAAGGTCTCAAATACCAATTTTGTTGCTCTCAAGGGTGATTGAACTGTGGTTAATAGTTTAATATTTCTAAAATCGAGATTTCAAATTCAAAATTTGAACCGGATGAGAAAGAATTTAAAAGAAGATGATTATTTTTTCTAATACAGTCTATCATTCAATCTACCCAAAAAAAAAATCTAATCTTGATGAAATGGATGAAGAGAGGTTTGGAAAGAAAACCTCATCTCCGGCCATTGTATGGTTTATATAGTAAAAAATTATTAAAATTTTTTAAAATGTTTTTAATATGAAAAATGATTGGTACATCCTCTAATTTAACATATTTAACAATACTCACTAGTTTAGTCATTAAAATTTATCTTTGAAAAATTTCCCACCTTAAATTCAAATTTAAAAATATTGGTTTGTAATGACTGAACCAATGGGTGCTATTAAGTGTATTAAATCGAAAGGTGTATCAATTATTATTCTTTTAATATTAATTAACTAGCTAACATATTATTGTCAAAACTTTTTTATATTTAAAGATTTTTATTGAGATTTGTTTATGAGTTTCTTATTTTGTACTTCAAACTATAAAATAGGTACTATTAGACAGGAAACAATCCCAACTGAATGTTTTAAAACCCAACTCAGTGATCAATTTGTTTTTAGCACTAAGTTCGTTTCAATTAGTAATTAGTGTGACTGGTCAACTAAAACGTTCACTTTTTAGCATTTTTTTGTATATTTAATGCTGTATATTCATGTCACTCTATTTCAAGATATAATCACCTTAAAAATAATTTGTAAATTATTTTAGAATCAACTTAAAAAATTAAATTTATTTAAATAAAAACATTTTTAAAAAAGATAAAATGCATAAAAAAAGTGAAAATTTAAAAATTAAAAAAAAAAAGATTTTAAAACTGATTGGGTAGCCGGTTGACTGAGTTTTTGCTATATTTTACAGGGTTTTTCTTCAAAACGGTTTACACCATAAACTTGATTTTTGCAACTGAGTTTGGTTCAACCGACCATATTGGACCGGGTTTTAAAACCAGCAACAAACTGTTCTTGCATAATGCAAAACCATTTGGAGGAATAAATTTATCAATGTTTGATGGCCAGCGGACGTGTTCTGAGTGAATATTTAAAATTAAGAAGAGTTTATTTCCAATAATTAATACTTTTAACAAGTTACTATCAAGTTTGGTATCCATCTTTTGACAAAGTAATGGTTTAACCTTAGAAGAATCAAATTCAACAGCGCAAAATTTGGGCAGTCTATAGTGTTCTGTCTGAATATTTAAAATTAATTACTGTTGGAGGATTTAATACCTTAACAAGCTAGCAAGCTTGGTATAGATCTTTTTTGTGGAAAATTAAGGAAAAGAGCCAGCATCCTAGCTAGGTAATACTCGACACCATTGGGATATCGAAAATTAAATTATTGAGCTCATGCCCTACCTTTTTTTTTCTACCACCAAAAATGTACTGCTTAAAATTATATTAGTAACAATTCAATGAAGCTGTTGATCAGATACAACAAAGCAAAAAGAACATAAACAGGTAAAGAGAGGTAGCGTGATAAGGGAACATATGCCAAGATAAAAAAATAAAAAATAAAAAAAAAATGTTAAATAATGTTAATTTTTGGTTTTTACCTTTAATTAAAGTTTTATACAGTTTTCATGTTTCAATTATTTTAATATTTTTCTATCATTTAACTCTAAAATATATTTTTTTATCTTTTCATCAATTAATTCATTAGATATATTTACAAATAAACATTTTTAATCTCTAAAGTTATATATATTTTTAATTCTTAAATTTATAAAAAAATGAGTCAACTATAATTTTCTTTTAGTAAAAGTAATAAACTTTAAATTTGCAAATAGAAGTGTTTATGTCCGATTCAATCTAATTGATTTGATTTAAACTAACCCAATCCAATAAAAAACCAAATCAAACCAATATAAAATTAAGTTAGTTTGAATTATAAAATTTTAAAACCAATATAATTAGTTTAGTTTGTGGTTTTACCTTCAAACCACCCGAATTACCTAATTACAAAATAAATCTCAATTACAAGATAACTTAATTAAATAATATAATGTTTTTTTGTAGTATTTTAAAATTCCTTTTTTCTTGTTTTATAAGATAATAACTCTATTAACTTAATTAAAAAAATAAAAATAGAACATCTTCATATTCCTAATTTATTTTCCCTTCTTAATCGTACACCCTAACTCTAATTTCAAATTTCTAATTTACCTACAATTCTATCTTTTAAAACTACTCTACGTCTTTACTTTTAGAAACCTAAATTTCTAATTTGTTTCTAAAATAATATTTTGATTCTCTCTTTTCGATTGGAGCGTTAATTCGCTTGAGAGTGTTTCAGCTATAAGAAAACATAAAAGGTTGCTGAAGGTGTTTCATAAGAACCAAAAGGGCTGTGTATAATGAGTTACTGGCTGGGCTGGTTGTATTTCATATGTTATTTGGTTCCTGGTATAAGATGCTGGAAGGGATGTTCATGTTACTTTTATGTTTCCATTAGTTGTATCCTAAATTTGTATATGGGTTGGAGTACCCCTTGTACTCTGCATAATAAAATTTATTTATTTTGTCAATAAAAAAAAATATTATGATTCTTCTAATTAAGTTTTAAAGAAATATCATTTTAGAAGTTTTAAAACCATATAATAGAACTAATCTTAATTTTCTACTATTCTTGGATGTTTAGTTGAGGAGTTTTAAATTTTAATTATGAATGCTTATAATCAATTCTAGTGATATTCATCTTAAATTTTATTTACTTTTAATAGGATTTGAAATATGAGATTAAATTATTAGTGCATTAAGCAAAAGAATTAATTTTAACTTTTAAAAATTACTTACATTGTACTTGAAACTTGAAATCATTTTTTATTGTTCTAGATGCCTTTGGTGATGTAACCAAGAAGAATTTTCATATTTTTTCAAAATTTACAATTGTAAAGCAGTATAAGAATTTATTTATAATTTGCGCCTTCTATTATATTTCTACTAATTTAGATATTAATGTGTTTTATAGTTGTATTTTTTATTTGATATTAATTTTTTTTTATATTACCTTATATATTTAATAGTGTTAAAAACTGATTAATTCAACTGAATTACACTGATCCGATTTAAGTTGGATTGATTTAGTTATCATATAATAATATATTAGATTGATTTAAAAATTTTACTAACCGATTAAATTAGATTGGTTTAAAAATATTAAAATCCAAACCAAATATCACCGCAAACACTCTTATTTGCAAATAAGGTTAATTAAGGGATAAAAAAAGTTATCTCTTGTTATGTTACCAAAATTAAAAAAATATATAAATATTAAATAAATAAGGAAAACAAAACCAACGTCTGGGAACCACCATTCTTGGAAAAGGAAAAGGGCATGGGATGGGGGAGATTGTGGCTTAGTTTGACCGCGTTTGATTGTAATTGTAATTGTGATATCCCAAAAATTTCTAGAATAAATAAGTGAGTTAAGGATTAATTTGTGAGAAAAATATTGTTTTGGGCTTAATTGTCTAAATTTAAAAAGTTGAGAGACTTAAAAGAGTAAAGAATTTGGATAAGGATGGCTTATTTCTTTTCTCCTTTTCTTCTTCTTCCTCACCCGATTCTGCTCTTCTTTCTTTCTTCCCGCTGCAGCCGAACAACAAAAAAAAGGGGAACCCAGCCATGCTTTGAAAAACCGGTGAGATAAGCTTGATTTCTCCTTCTTTTCTTGCTCTACAACACATGTAGAACCCAGAAATTTCCCCCACCCCTCTGCAGAATCCGGATCTGCTCTGCTTTGCTCTGTCCTTCCGCCGGCTGCTCCTGCTTTGTGGGGGTGATTTGCTCCGGTTTTGGGTAAGAAACAGCTACCAATTCCTTTGTTCTTCCTTAAATTGGCTTGGGTTTACTCTAAATCCCCTTGATTTCTCCAATTTCCGGTGGATTTCCCTTGAATTTCTCCTACACTTGCCGCCGGCTTCTCCCCCTGCCAAGTCCGGTTCTGCAGCTGGAAAATTTATGGTAGGTTGGCTTCTCCAATTCTCGAAAATTGGTTGATTAGTGGCTGCCTTTGTGATGTCCGAATTTTATAGAAAAATGAGGGAAATTTGATAGCTTTAGGACCATGATTTAGCTTAATTGAAGTGGGATTTATGTGATTGAGTGTTAATTGATTGTTGTGAGATTTTTTGGAGAACAATCCCGTGAGAATAGGCTATGGTTTTGGCCAATTTTTGGAAGTGGGAGTTACTGTTTCCGTCGTGGTTACTGTTCACGTCATGGTTACTGTTTACGGGTTACTGTTCACACACTGAGGGTTAACAATTAACGGGGATTTAAATGGTTAGTTTGTGATATAAGAACAAATTTGGAGATGTCTGATAATGTGGAGATTGATAGAAATAGCATTGTGATTAAGAGTGATCTTAATAATGATTTCAGTTTGAATTTGTGATAGTGCGGTATTTATTTTTGGATATTTTGATTAGGTTCCTGATTGTTTTGTCAGTTAGCACTGAGATCGAGTCTTCGATTTTATGGAGTGAATTTTCTATGTTATGCGAGTGAGGTAAGTAAATTTATGTAATGCTCGTACAGTTTTTAAAAACATGTTTTGATTTTTTTTTTAAGTGGTGGCGGGACTAAACCCGTTTTATGCAAAAATAAGTATGACT